ACAGATGTTAGAAAGGTAATTTATCTGTGAGTAACATAGGCTATATTTTTTAATTTCACGAGTACGAAGTCGCGAACAACAGCTAGTTTTTTATAATGTTTTGTTTTGACACAAGGTGGCACTAAACTGATGTAATACCTATCAGAGAAAGTACCTGAGAAAAAATCACTGTCTCTATTTTTAAATGTCTCTGCAGAGAACACATAAATTATAACAATCGATTTCCTGTAATCATTCAGATAAGTCCTCATATCACGTAATACGTGCTGTTGTCACGTAACGCCGCGAGCGGGCGCTAGTGGAATAACAATCGCGGCATTGGCCACCGGGCCCTGACCTCAAGGTCGCGGGTTCGTATACAAGACATTACTGTCGAGGAATTTTATATCCTACCCAAAACAATTGACGCTCACAATGCAAATAAATCGACACGGAGTCAGATAAAGACACACTCGTGATTTTATAGCTCCTATTTGATGAACGATATTCGATTAAATATGGGTGGGGAATTTAATTCCCTTACTGTATATTTCTTTGACAACTTAGTAAACATTATAAACGAGGTCTTTATAAATACTTATTCAAAGGAAGACAGTACAAGTCTTTATTTCTAAATGAGATAAAAATTGTAACAAGAAAATCTTTTGTACAATCTGTATTTATAAAAATAAAAGATTTCTATTAAAAATAGCTGTATTCAATGAGCGTTTCAATGTTACACTATTATAATAATAAATATAGCTTCTATTTGCATAATGAAAGTTTTTGTACGAAAATCAAACGAATAGTTTTCAATAAAATCCTGTAAGTGCATAAATTTTGTATAGATTCATCTATACTAGTCTATAGTAATATTATAAAGAGGAAAACATTGTTTAATTGTAGTAAATAACTCAAAAACTACAGGGCCGATTTCACCATTAAAAAACTACGTTGTCAGTGAGTAACATAGGCTATGTTTTATATTATTTTTTTACGCGGACGGAGTCGCGGGCGAAAGCTAGTTTCTAATACAATTTCATTAATCATCATATTAATAAGAATTTGTAAACATAATTATTATCGTGAACACATAACGCACGAGTTGGTTATAATTATCACTATTACAAAACAAGATCTCAGAGAAAATCACGTTCAGTGTATTTAATTATCTGTGCTATCTATACTAATATAAAGAGGAAAGATTTGTATTTTTGTATGTATTGAAATAACCCAAATTTCACTAATAAAAGCTACGTTATCATTGAGTAACAAAGGTTATGTTTTCCATTTTTTTAATTTCATGGGGACAAAGTCGCGAGGAACAGCTAGTTATAGATAAATTAAAAAACATCAATACCAGATTTTTTTTCCTACTTTTAGATAACATATTTGTAGTAAATTATACTCGTATAAATTCCGGCAGAATAGCGTGCTTATCAATACTAATATAATAAAGAAGGAATGATTTATATTTTTTTGTTTTGAAATAACTCAAAAACTACTGGGCCGATTTAAAAATTCTTTCACCGTTAGAAATGTAATTTATCTGAGTAGCATAGGCTATATTTTTTATATTCACGAGAGCGAAGTCGCGGGCTACAGCTGTTTCTTAATAATTTTGAATGACATTGACAGATGTCATAGGGACGGGACATGTATAGCAATGATCTAGTGTTGCGCCACTAGTCCGGCACATTACCGATTTCTTTTTAACACTACGAAGGGTCAGAATGTCATACAATCTGGAATTTATACAGTTTTAAACATTAATATAAAACATGCTATATATAAGAAAAACTAAGATCGCAACGAAGATCAAACTTACATCTAGATTGTTCCCCTTTTGATATCCAATGCTAGTTAGCTTAACCGTCTATTTACCTCATTAAGTTGTTAAGTGTTAGCCTTAGTTTATGTTATGAGATAGGTTTCCCTTAGTGGCCAATTAACAATGCGATTTTAAAGTAAACGTTCTAAATCGCAATTACAAACGATTTCAGTAAAAAAATGTGTATTAATACGTGTATAATACTTATTTCTGTAGTCAAATCTTACGTATCCATTACGCAAGCTATGTGACGTGTCGTATGCGAGACGAATGTGGATATTTTGGTATCACACTCACGGATACCACGCCCGCTACCAACGCGCTCCAGTTAATTATTTATATGATTATTTCTTAACCTGGGCTAACTTGTCCTCTTCTTCTATGCTTCCCCTCAGTCATTAAGGTATAACATAAAGTATCGGTGTAAGAACAGGGCGAGATGGGGCGTCCGCCCAGGGCGCTCGACATAAAAAGCGCCACAGGCGGTATAGAGACGGGCATCTTTTATGACATTTTTCATATGAGTTTTATTTTAACTAGCTCTTTCCGAGCAACTTCATCGGCATATAATTTTGAAAATGTTATTTTATTGTTTACATTTGTCACATTATCAATTGCAAATGTCAAAATAACATGATATCATGACAAACCATGGCAACTCTGCTTCCTTGGTGTTGGTAGCTCGTAGCTTATGGTCTCTTTCCCACATCAAGGTTTTCATCCAATTTATTAACCCCATTAATTGATAGCGTGAAAATATATAGCCTAAAGCATGACGTTAGTGTAGGCCTTTTTATTAAAAAAAGAATTATTTAAAAAATATGCTGTAATTGCTGAGATCTTACGCCACAAAGAAGTGTGTGTTTACACTTTAGCATAGAAGTATAGATAGATTATTCACGAAAAAAATTTTTTTCCTCAAGATAAAAAAGTAAAACACTTAGATCTTCTTCAGTTTAATTATACTCAGTTAAATGCCATATAACACTAGCCACTTATAGATATGAACGATTCTTCAGATAACTAAGATCAATCAAAGAAAAATGCTTCTTAATAACTACAAAATAGAGCACATAATAGACTAAATTAACCGCAATCGAGGAGTAGCATGATCTTAGTTATAACGGCGCAGTGTAAAAATAACTATTTTCGTAACAACGATAAAACGTGACGTTCACTACATCGTCGGCCCACTGACCTACACGATACGACACACCCACGGCGCAATGTGTATGCGGTAATACAAAAACGTCGAAAGATTCGATGTAACACGATGCAACAGTTTCGTCGGAAAATTCGTTGAAACTGAATATTTACATGACAAAATGTATAATTACAAAGGAAGGTGATGAATAAATTCTGGGAACTGTTTTTGCATTTCATTTCTTAAGAAAATAGGTATTAATAAATCATGAATTTTCTTAACTTATATCACAAGAATGAGTCTTAGACTGATATTTATACAGCATACCCATCGTCTGTCATAGGCCTGTCCCACCATTGGCTGATAGAAGCTCAAACAGCTTAAAAATGATGCCACTGTTAGATAAGGGAACATAATCCAATATTTCAGTTATCAAACAATTTACAATTTGGTGGGACAGGCCCTTAACTTATTTTTAAGTTAATAGAATTGAATTGTGTGAATAGAAGAAATTACCCGAGCCGTTGCTCTGCATATAGATTTTTTTGTTTATTTTAGTCAAATTACATCTTAGACAGACTATAACTTGATTCCTGAGATTATACCGAGAAAGTACTCACATAAGCAAAGCCAGAGCAAAGTCAAAGTGTACTCTATAAAATTCCGCCCTCGCATAATTGCAATAATAACTGGAAAAGACATAAAGTGCGTAAATATTTTTTCTCATTTAAAATTAAATAAGTATAATTTAATACTTTATATTTAATTATGCAATAAGGAGGCCAACTAGAAGCGAAATCCTTTAAGTGTCCATCAATGACCATAGACATCTGCAATACTAGAACTGCAATGTGTGGCCGGCCTTTGAGGTCCTACACACTTCTTGAAGGTCTATTATGTGTTTTAAGCACAATTATTTAAAACTCATTAAATATTTTGTATTTTATTTTATGCTGTTATTTTTTTGTCTCAGAAATACAATTACTATTACTGAAAATTTAAATAATTCAATAATAAAATAACTCTATAGATATAATACATTTCTTTTATAATAAACACTTTCCCTAACTTTCTACATTGCCAGCTTGGTATTGCAAATAAGGCTTCACTATAATCTAATTTATTTTACTAGACTTAGTGCCTAACATTGCTGCTTAAATTCATAATGTAATATAAATAAACGCTCACATTTTTTTAATGTTCATGACACATTTTTTCAAATAAGTAAAACTTTGGTTGTACAATAATTGGATTATTTATGTTATTAAAAGGAATTGTAATTGTAGTAATAGTTAATAATAGATACAAGGTTTTATAGAGTAAGCAGCAGATCAGCAATTTTAGTTTGTTTACATTTTTATGTAACAAATACATTACAGCGGTTAGTATCACCGAAAGGGCGCTTCTAAAACTGTACGCTAACTCATTTATACATAAATAGTGCACGCGCGCGTGGGTTTATCTTGTAAGCCGTCAGAGATAGAAGAAGAAGCAATTATAATCATAATCAGCCAACCATCAACGCTGGAACCGCGACCCGGCATCCAAATAAAGACATAAAAGTATGACATGTCTACCATTCGACAAATACTGACCTGTTTTTTACATCAAAAGCTTCAAAGACGTCACATTGAGATTCCATTCAAGAGTTTATTATAAAAAAACAATGAACATTCACAAATTCAGTTCATTTCACACAATAACCATTTATTTTTTACGAATTTCTTTTTGTGACACTCGCGGAAACCAACATTCGGCCCGACCGCTGGAGCGTAACACAACAGATAATATAAAAAAATGTCAAAAAATTATTTCTATCGTAGATACAAAAAAAAGGTGAAAAATGTCTTTGAGTAAATAAACAGTAATATAAAACAAAACACGTTAAGCTAAAAGCATTTGCGCTTCACAATCAGTATCGGTAGCATTAATATTTAGTGGGCTTGGTACTTTTTGGCAAGATATTCCTTGTCCTCATCTGTTTATTATCCAACGGAATAGTGAGCAGACTTTACAAAAATGATTTCACAGCATGCAATGTACCATTTTATGCATCCAGCGAATTCTTACTATTATTCATTGTTCAGTGAAAATAATATTTTGTATCGATTAACCGGAAAAACTTAACTTTGGACTTAACCGGAATTATCAACTGACAACATGACAACTGGAAAAAAAGCTGATATGACAACTTTCTATTTGACATTTGACAATGAAATTGACAGTTGTTTAGATAGAAATTAGAAATAAATCGATCCTTATGATTATTGTGCTTTCTCTAAAGTAGTGTAAAGTTTAATAGAATATAAGTTGTTAAATGTCTGCTTAGTTATACTAGATTCTAAAATTGTTTTTACAATTCACAATGATTAAAGCTATACTTGTGTTCAACAATCATGGAAAGCCACGATTATCGAAATTCTATCAATACTTCGTAAGCATGAGATAATATTGCCTTTTGTTCATGACTGTTTTCCCGCGTAGCGTTTCGTTACTATTGACTCGAACAATTGCACTGTGAACCTACTTTCTTTAGGAATTGGTTGAAAAATTGTATACTTTTTCAGAATGAAGATATGCAGCAACAGATAATAAAAGAGACATTCCAGTTGGTGTCTAAAAGAGATGACAATGTCTGTAATTTTCTGGAAGGAGGCAGGTTCGTATTCTATAACTCTTTTACTATTTAAGTTGTCCAGTAGCATTGTACAATAAAAAACCAAATTCCTTTATTTGATATGCCAATAGGCTAAAGGTTTGGGTTACTGGCTACCAATCTAGCGGTTGTAGGTTTGAATCCCAACAATTAACTACTTTAACACAAGCTTTTTAATGCTTATCATTTATTAACATTTTATTATGAAATAATGTGTTCTGAAACTGGTTATAGCAGACTATGATTTACTATAGATAAGGGAGAATAAACTAATAATAGATATGAGTGTGGAAGGGTAAATCGGTAGAGGTAGACCTAGAAAGAGATGGATGGATTGTGTAAAAGGAGACATGATCAAAAAGGGAGTGATGCCTGAGATGACGTATGATAGTGTTATGTGGAGGACAAAAACCTGTTGCGCCGACCCTACGGGAATAGGATAAGGAGATGATGATGATGATGAAGGAAGAATAAACTAATGATTTGCATATTTTATTTACAGCCTTATTGGTGGTTCTGACTACAAGCTAATCTATAGACACTATGCAACACTCTACTTTGTGTTCTGTGTTGATTCCTCGGAGAGTGAACTAGGTATACTAGATTTAATACAAGTAAGTACTGATTGTAATTTTTCATTAAATTGGTTGTATAAAAATTCATGCTAGCATCTTTTGATATTGGGTTTCAAAATTTAAATTTCATTCATCATTCAAGCACTTTATATACCCACTGAGGGGTTTGGAGCCTACCCTAAGTGGGGACTAGGCCATATTCAACTATTCTGGGGCACTGAGGGTTGTCATCATATCTTTGAATTTATAGTTATATGAAGGTTACATTACAATGTTTTCTTTCACTATAAGAATTTTGGGTAAATGTACATATGAAATTCTAAAATAGAAACACAAATGAAAACATAATTGAATTTAAATCCAGGGCTTGTAGATTACAAGACAAGCTTCAATCCCCCGAGCCACAATTCTTACATATTTTTAATCATAACATATGAAACCGAGTTCTTTCTGAAAGCGACTTTTTTAAATGTAAATTACTTTAGGTTTAAATTACTATATATCCTAAATAACTAGCACTAAGATTCTACAAGATGAGTTTAGAACCTAGTGGAGTAACCAAGTGCTCAATCACTTTCCTAGATAAACAATTTTTGTAATAAATTAAAAGTAATATATATAAATAAAATATAAATAATAATAACTAATAAATAAATCTCTATAAGATAGGGTTTGAGTGTGTTCAATAAAAGTTCCTAGTGGCTTGTGATTCTTAACAGTGGTAGTGCCCGCTTTAACATTTTAGCACGAATGGGCCGGCACGCCCGGTGTAATACCATGACCACAGGCGTGATGTGGAAGCAATTCCGTGTTTCGTCTGATGAGTGTGGTGCCGGAGGCCTAATTTAAATCCCTATTTCTACCAATCTTTTCTTATAAGGAGAGGATGGGTAGGAAAAGTGGATTTGACGGTGGAGGAGACGCATAGGGAGGGGAAATATCCACTTTATGTGCGTCTCCTCCTCCGTTGGATAAGGGTAGGCAACGCATCTGCAATTGCGGATGTCTATGGGCAGCGGTCGCATCGCCATTTTGGCGATTTCAGGTGGCCGCTTGCTCGTTTGCCACCTTATGATATAAAAAAAAACTTTTTCTCAATAAACAAATATAACTCGAATTAATGGAATTGTATAACATTTTCAGGTGTTTGTGGAGACATTAGATAAGTGCTTCGAGAATGTGTGCGAATTGGACCTGATCTTCCACGCGGACGCAGCACACCAGGTGCTGGACGAGCTGGTGATGGGCGGCATGGTGCTGCAGACCAACATGGCGGATATCCTCTGCCGTTTACAGGAGCAGAATAAAATGCAGAAAGCTGAGGTAAACGGATGCATGTCTACTTTTAATTGACATTTGCTGCATTTCTGAAATGCCCATTTATTTTATCATTACCTTTTGATTCATTAGTGTTAGGTTCAACTAAGTTTTGAATAGAGTAAAATTCAAGTTACATAGTTCGGAAACATGTCATGAATTTATAGAACCAAAAATACTAATGAATGGCTAATAAAGCTAGGAAACTATTCAATATTACCTTATTCTGAGGTATCTCGCTATTTGTCACCTTTAATTGTGTGTCCATTCTTATTAAAAACTAGCTGTTCCCATGCGGCTTCATCCGCATCAAGTTATAATTTATTTTATTGTTTACATTTATGAAATTCTCAATTGCAAATGTCAAAATACCAATTACCTCACTATGGCAATCTTGCTTCTTTGATGTTGGCAGCAACTTATGGTCTCTTTCCCACATTGGGATTTTTATCCAATTTATTTAACCCTAAAGTTTAATAGCGTGAAAATATATAGCCTAAAGCGTGACGTAAGAGTAGGGCTTTTTATTAATATAGAATATTTAATAAAATAGATATAGATTGTTATTTAAAAAAATTCTAATTAGAAAAAGTGTTAAGGAACTTAAGGTACTTAAGGAAGTGAAAATTTTAGCTGTGGGTATCTGAATTAAAATTTGTTTTTAAACTACAGTTCAGCTCATGGTTCGCAAGGGGGAGGCAGATCAGTAATTTTGTGAGTTAGCCACTGAGCAGTTCTTGGCTTATCAGCTCTCATAGTTATAGTTGTGTTGAGTTACCTGTTACTTTGGTTGTAGAGCCATAGCTCAACCATTCAAGGCTTAAGATCTTTTGATTTGATTAAGGTTTTACGAACGTTTTAATTCCACTTGATGTTAGTTTGTAGTGGTCGTGGTATTGCAGTTGTGAATCTGTGCAGTTAATAACTATGGATACTATATTTTTTGCAGGCGGGCATATCAGCTGCGCCGGCGCGCGCAGTCTCCGCAGTAAAGAGCATGAATCTACCGCAGCAGCTGCGGGACATCAAGCTGCCCGACCTCCCGCAGGCTATTAGGGTATGTATTTCTTCAATACTGTAAAAAAAAGTAACATAAAAACTTTTCATAACAATGACCCACTTTCTCTTGGGGCCTTTGTGTCTTGTCACTCCATGGCGCGTCCACCGAAGCGATCTAACAGTTTGGTGGCATCCAATCCGGTAATAATAACAGTAACGGCTCGTGCCGAGGCTCCTGAGGGAGCTCTCGAACTTAGTTACTCATAAACGAGGTTCAGGCTAACGCCATCTGAGCTCTGCCACCTCCAGCATGGCTCTTCAAGGCAAACAGTGGCCATTCAGTCACAAAAAATATGGCCCATTATTCATTAAAAGAGAGAGAAAACTCTCCATGATATAATATCTAGAAATCGAGTTATGGCCACTGAAGTAATATGTAACGAACAAAAATTCTAACTTAGATATTAAGTTTATGTTTAAAACTGACTGTTTAAATTAGGTTTAAGAACCTGAAGGAAAAGAAGACGATATTGTATTGTATTTATAATAAATAAATAAATATAATGTACAATCGGGGAATTTGGCGGTGAAAGATAAAAAACTGCAGTCGTTTGAATGTACTTACACAAGGAAACTATGTGAAATAAGAACGAAGCTTGTAAATTAGAGTATGAATATGGTGGTATACAGCTTGCTTTTTTTATAACTTGGTTATTTGTAAGAGGTGATTACAACAAGGTAACTAAGTGGAACACCGCGAATTTTCTCGACTGTACATTTATATGTAACATTTTTAACTTTACAAAAGATTTTTTTTTTTTATTAATTCAAGCAAATGAGGGTAGTATTTTTTTTGCAATCAGGACTTGAAGTTCTGACCGCTACCTCAGGGCGCTCCGCCAACGCCCGCCGGCCTCGCCACAAACATACTCAACACTATCTACCCCCATGACAAATACCACAATTTACATAGACAGGATTTTCCTAACAAATTCTTTGGTTCTGAAACATTAAGTACCAGGTTCTCAGAATCATTCTCTGAGAACTATCAGCAGACGGAAGGAATTAATTTCCCTAATTACGAAACTCATAAATCTGAAGGATATCAAGATTTGAGTGGAACGGTTGATAGTGAGTATAGTGAGAGAAAGAGAAAGAAGAAGAAGAGACAGGGAAAGTAGACAATATGCATGTATTTTTTTTAACAATTTCTACTCGTTATAAGATAACCCGAACAAAATTTTGATTCAAAAATATAGTAATAAAGTATATTTAAAAAAAGTTTGGTACAATTTGGCGTCATATGCATATTGTCTATTGTGTAAATTCATTGATCTTTATAGATGGATAGGTTACTTGCAATAGCTTTTGTTTTATTACCAAGGTCATACTAATATTATACGCGATTTTTTTATAAATGGATGTTACACTATTTGCGGGAAAGTTTTCGTAGCCTATCCATTTTTAGAGGTCAATGGAATGTTGCTATATGTTTACATTGTCAGTACACTTGTATACAAATTGTCATAACTCTCATTGTGTTTGAAATTATTTAAAACACGTGGAATTCCTAGATTTTTAATGTGGGATGATGTTTTTTGTCGAGGTTGGTTTTATTGTTATTATTTAGTTAGTCCAGTTAAGTTTTTACTCAATACGTGATTGATTGGTGTGTTAGTGGAGATTTGTCATATAAGGGTCGCCCTTAGGGATTTAAACGTCCCTGAGTATCGCTAGTTATTTAGTCGCCAGTTCGAATATCCTTTGCAATTTAATGTAATCTTTTATCCTTTACTTTTTTATATTGTTGTTTAAAATTTGTTAAATTCGCAATTTAATGTGCAATAATATTTTTTTAAAATATGTATTTGTAACAATTGTAGCAAATAATTTGACATTCCGTAAAATTTCTTACTAAAAAGATCGTTCTGCGTAGCGTGGAAATATATAAATAAAAAATTACATTATTCTGTTTAATAAAAGAATTCAGTTATAATTTTCTTAAATACAAAAATGTTTTTTTGTAGAATTACATTTATACTTTGCTTGATTGTAACTTAAGGTTATTTTATGCCCGTCTATATATTGCCGTATATTGCGCTTGAGTACTAATAAAAAAAAAGATGTCTGTTTTAGCAAATATGAATTCATTATGTATTCTCTGTATGTATTTTAGTTATGTATAGGTTGTAAGAAATAAATATGTTAACCTTGCAACTCCTTGTTTTATTTTAAATTAATTAATTAATAGATTTTGGCATTTGTTGTATATTATTTGCAAGAAATGTTAAGGTTTGGATTTTTTTAATTTGACAAAGGCAAAAACAACTTTGACGCCATCTATGTATGTAAGTAGATACTAGCTCCTTTTTGAAAAAAATTGACGATAACAAATCATTTAGGTTGTGCTATTCGATAATAGATGGCGCTGTGACCAAATTATCAGCCCTTCTAAACCAACTATTCGACGCTAGATGGCGCTCTATTCAAAAATACTTGATTAAAAATTATAAAAATTGGCCAAATATTGTGGATTGGTGAAAGGTGCGTTGCTTTTTGAGTAAAGTCTACGTTAATCAGTGTAGTTGTGGTGTGTCATGAATTTATCTAGAAATTCAAAATGCAACGTAAATTCCATAAAAAAAGATTGCACTTTTTTTGGTTAGAAATTTCAATAGCCACAAAATTCTCGGAGAGCATTAACAAGATATTAAGACTGAAAAAGACCTTTTGTTAAAAATTACGTCATGAATGATGCTAAAAAATAAATAAAATAGCTTATGTAATCTGTACATTTGCTTAGCTAAAGCAGTTGTAAATTAATGTTATTTTAATTATCCACACAATGTAAACAGTTTACACGTAAGTTTACATGCTAAACTATTTACATTCGAATGTAATAAATTAAACAGGTCAGTAAACAGAGCTGACGTGTTGATAAATAAAATCCCAGTGCGCAGGCTTCGTTCAATTTCTATATTGTATTTCAAATTTCAAATGTTATTTGCGTTTTATTTGCTTTTACGATTTAGTCTTGAAAACTTTATACTAGATGGCGCTGTAAGCATTTCATAACCAGTTTTTCGCAAAAATTATAAATTCAATAGAAATCCAAATTATCTAAGTACTACGCAGGTATTTTAAAGTGAAGAAAAGAAGTCTGTTTCATGAATAAAGTTTACTTTCGTTAAAATTTTATTATTTCATAAATTATTGTTTGTTAAATTACAGTCCGCGTACTATGATTTGTCTTGACCGTGTATTATACGTCTGTTTGTCCGTTGTTACCGATTTGAGGTCTGCGGTCGTGCGGACATTATTATATGCTAAGTCATTTCGCCTTCCGGTGTTTTTGTCAAATGAATAGTAATTTAACAAATAAGCTATATTTCAACAATATACATCGTTGTCGAGGGAAGGATATCTGCTAACACGAAAAGCATTTAAAAATGTAAAAAAAAGATACAAAACATCAAATAACATCATATCCAGGTTAAATCATAGCTAGGTACGCCTATGGATCTATATTGTGGTGCATTTTTTATTTAATAACTAGCTTTCGCCCGCGACTCCGTCCGCGTGGAAGTTAAAAAAACAGTAAGTATATCCTCTACATCTATGCCAAGTTCATTAAAACTTGTTCAGCACTTTAGGCTCTATCCATCCATAAAAACTTTCGCATTTATAATATTAAGTTTAGTTAGAAACCAGGTCCCTAAGGGGTTTTTAAATCTACAAATTTAACAACCATATAGTTAGTTGCAATTGAATGTTCGGACGTGGTGTGTAATTTTGTGGTGACAGATGTCCGGTGGTCAACAAGCCAGCAATGACAGTCTGCGAAAATCAGATATACGCATTAACCCGTTACTTGCGGTCAAAAAGAAACTTTCCAATTGAGAGTTATTTCGTAAAGATAATAGTGCGGACATAAACTATCTCAAAAATGTTTAGTCTCGCTGTTTAAAATGTAAAATATAATTGTCAATAGTTAATTTAATAAATAATAATGTATAAAGTAATAAACAACCAACAATAGACAAGATAAAATTGTCGGATGCCTGTGGCAATACCAGCTTCCGGGCGACACTCAACGACCGACAAAGAAAGAAGCAAAAACTGCGACAGCCGTCCGCCGTTAATCTAAAGCGTATTTTGTACGTATTCGTCCCCCTTCTACAATTTAAACCAAAATAACAAGAATCAGAAACACTCGCTTTCCTATAAGCTTGTATAGAGATGCCCACAATTCGATTTTTATACAACTAAAAAGTTGAAGGCTACGAAACAATTGACAATCGCACAACATTTTCTGCGATAGTTCAATCAAAGGTGTGCGCCCTCTCTAAAGGACTTTTATGTCTAGTTCAGGTTACTGATACAAGTAACTAACTAAAGGTTTCTGAAGTTCAGTTAAAAATATAGTTGAGAAGATAAAATTTAGAGTATTGCAGTTACAAAATTACCCCGTACTTGATTAAATTATCTCTTTGTGAACCAGACATAAGTGCCAAATCTATACTAATATTATAAAGAGGAAATGTTTGTATTTTTGTAAATATTGAAATAACTCAAAAACTACTGGGCCGATTTTAAAAATTCTTTCACTATTAGAAAGGTAATTTATCTGTGAGTAACATGGGCTTATGTTTTTAATTCCACGGGGACGAAGTCGAGAGCAACAACTAGTATAAACTTAATTATATTTTTTTATACCTATATAAATATATTGATATACTCTTTGGAAAGAACTGGAGCGATAGTCTTGCTTTGTATAATTTTTCAGCAGAGGTCTAGAGATTAGTAAAATGTTTTTTTATTGACGTAAAAAGTTATTTCCGTGCCATCAAATCAGTTTCAATGTTTCTAATAAGGAACAAAACAAGTATAACATACAAACGCCGCCACAACAATTACCTTTGATATATTTCTTAAGGCACATTCACACGCAAAAAACCCTAACTTTACCCCCTGCAATTACACAATGTTTTGACATTTCCACCGGTCCATTATGACTTGTTATTTATAGGGCGCGGCGACTTTTACAAACGTTTTTTTTTTCACCAATAGAAACCTTACCTGGACTTTTAACATATATCAATGCTTTCGCGGTGTTTTTAAACATGGGTGGTCGCGCACAAAGTGACAAAACACAACAAAATAAACCTTTTTTTAAACCATTTTTATAATAAATCTTGTTACGTGATTTGGCTTTTGATAAATTAATTTTGCGTCTTAAAGAATTTTGTTTTGGCTGAACGAGCTGATTGTTGTAGCCTGTTAAAAAAGTATACCAAATAATTTGACGTTGGCGCCAAAATGAAATAAAACATTCCGTGTTTCTAATTAAACAGTACTTAATCTTGATCTCTTAATTAAAAATATATTATTATGCTAGTTTTTTTTATTGCAAATCATTCCGATTTTAATTGTTAGTATTTTAATACCGACTCGGTAATATTTAAACAAAAATATTTCTTGTTTTTGTAAAGATATCTATACTAAATAACATATTTTAAAGAGGAAAGATTTGTATTTTTGTATGTATTGAAATAACTCAAAAACTACTGGGCTGATTTAAAAAAAAGAATTCTTTCACCGTTAGAAAGGTAATCATTAGTGTGCTATATTTTTATTTTTTTATTTCACGCGGGCGAAGTCTCGAGCAACAGCTAGTGGATATTGCTTATTAATTTTAAATGTTTTTACGACTTAGAGAATTTCTTAAAGCGGGAACCATACCTCTCCTTTTTTATCCCTTTTCCTTTGTTTCTGGTTTAATATTCTTTTTTTTATCTAAATATAAGCTGCCAATGCTTTGCCATAATATACAACAAAATGTATCAAATTTTTTTATTACACAATAGCATACATACGAGCAAGTACAATCGCGGAAATCAGCATTGTTCAACTTACAGAAAATTCGCCTTGTACCTAATCACGACACTACTAACTTTCTTCTAACAAATTAGGCGCAAGCAAACATTAATAAACAATTAAAAAACAATATCTTATTGATTATAAATGTAGCTCGAGAAATCGTCCAAGTGAAATTAAAAAATAATAGAAATAGCCTATGTTACTGACTGATAACGTAGCTTTTTAATGGTGAAAGAATTTTTGGAATCGGCCAAGTAGTTTTTGAGTTATTCCAAT